GAAGAAAACAAGTCAGTCAATCTCCAACAATGCCATTTGCTCCTTAACCTGTAACCAAGAATACCAACACACAGCTTCTTCAAGGTTGGATTTGGTCAGGCTATAGCAATAAACAGACTCTTCTCAAAACATCAAGATAACATGTACTTTCCTCTTAATGAGAGGACTTTAATCTAATAATAAAGTAAAGCCTTTAAATATGAAATGGTCACTCAAACTATTGGTTCCAATAACAATAAATTGGTTCCAAAAGACCTACAGCCGCCAAGGTACCCTAGAAAAGCAGACGCATGTATTGACACATGTTTAAACAAGTCCATATTTCATTTGGAAAATGGGCTAAATGAGCAAGCACTGTTACTGCACTCCTGGCATGGTCCAGACCCTTCAGTCACAAGTTCATATTAAAAAATACATGAAAAGAACATTTTCGATAAACACACTAACTTCTTTGACAAAGTAAAATCTCACAAGCTTAAATTCCTTCAACTAATATATATATATATGTGTGTGTGTGTGTGTGTGTTATTGCTGAATGAATCAGTCAATGAAATATTTATTCAATCGAATCTTTAAAAAATAGTGATACATTTAGAAAACCCACTTCTGTGTGTTGTTTGGAGACAAGATAATTCTTAATTGCACTTAAGTCCATGTAGGCCAAGTATAGAAGACAATGACTGTTTTTTATTGCAAATGATCCTTTTGTACAATTCATCTTACTGTTCAAAAGACATCCAAAACCTGCTGAGAACATTCAAACAAAATCTTGCCTTGCCATGCGAGTAAATGTGGAACTCAAGAATGTTATGGGAAGTATTTTCTTTGAATCCTTTCCCACTGTTTCAAGATGAGGATTGATCATGCTGGAAACAATGTGCCCAGAACTGCCAACATGTGCTGGCCATATTATGACTCATGAACGGTCAAGAATAGCATTGGCTACAAGTAGCACTTACACACGTCTCTGCAGGTTGTATCACCTTTTGCCAACAATTAACTAAATTAAACATATAATTAAAATTATTTAATAATATGCATACTGAAAATTGTGATCTTCGGCTATTTTAGCCATTTGCACAGCCACAGTCGTTTGTCTTTAGCCTGACTTCGTCATACTCGTATTCAAGAGAGAATATGAGTCTGAAACCGCTCTATTGGGATTTGATTATGAGGCGTGTCGTAACCGAACCAGGAAAAAAAAAACCCTCTGCACTCAATGGGCTCTATGCACGGCGTTATTTCCGGTGAAGGATTAAGGATGCTCGATAACTTCCGTTCCGCCGATCATAGAGTCCAATGCAATACCGAGAATTTATATTGAATTTTATACTCCATGGTTATACTAATGAAACGTTAGTCACAAAAACAGAAACTACAGCGTGTCATCAACAGAGCATCTAAAGTCATCGGTTCATCACTGAAATCCATCGAAGCACTCTACCACACACGGACATTACGTAGAGCTCACAAGATAACTGCTGATACCTCTCACCCTGCACACAACCTCTTCCAGTTACTGCCCTCTGGGAGGCGTTATAGGACGATCGCTGCTAAGACAACTCGTTTTAAAAACAGCTTCTTTCCGAAAGCAATCAACATTCTGAACTCTGAACGCTGAGGACTGGATTAAGCGTGACCCGTTACCCCTTTATGCCTGTGTATGTTTTGTGTTTTGTCTGTATGTATATGTATGGTATTGTATTATATATGTTTAATGTTCATTGTTAATGTATTTTCTGGAACCTGCACCCAAGAAATGAGCTGTACTGAAAACAAATTCCACCAGCCTGGCTGTGTGGTCATTAAAGTAAATCAATCAATCAATCAGATAAAATCTGTTTAATCTACACAACCGGAAATGGGCGAGCATCCTTACGTCAAATGCGGAAGTTATGCGTGCATATAGCCCATTGGATTGTCGGTAGACCTACAACCAGTCAGAGCAACGCAGTAAGTCAACTCCTTTGCATAGCGCATTTACCAGGCGCTCTTCACAATCGGTTCACAGCTGAGGAGCTCGATATTCTCGTCAGAGTCGTAAAAGAAAGAGAAGTGACATTGGGGACGGGACAAACCCACCCAAATTAGCTTCGGTTGAACATGCATAACCTATAATAATTTGGGTAAATGTGTAAGCTTTATGCCTATTTTTTCCCATCGTCATGGACACAACAATGATTTCCCTCGTGTTTAAATATTTTTCCTTATAATAATGCATCATTAGCAAAAAGTAAAATGCATCTGTGTAAATGAGAGAATCGTCTACAGTGTATGCAGTTTGTTCTCTGTGTTATGACCAAGCATGCGCGCTTAAAATAGCATCTGAATGTACGTGCAACGAGCCACTGACTTTAGACTAATTTTTTTTCTGGTCATTGGCGTAATTGTTTTCTGGAACTGCAAAATAACACCAGGGATTGTTTGCACCGAAACACGACTCCTTTTTGCGCCGACCCGCCCAGGGAGCGCAAGTTCATTTTCTGGTTTACCGACGTGCGTCTGTGGAGGGAAAATTCTGCTTTGCATGGGTGCAAAATGGGAATGATACATGCCTCAGGTTACAATGTCAATTGTGTTGGGTGCAAGATAGGGCCCCATGATGATACATGACAGTAAAGAAAGAAGAATATTATATTATATTATATTATATATTGAATAATTCAATAAAAATATGGATAGAAAAGGGGTAAATCAAATAAAAGTGTTTGTTTTGGTTAAGATAAGTCATCAGCTGATCTGGTGCTGTTCTGTAAAGGCGTGCTTATAGTGATGGGTTCGTTTGGATCATGCAAAAACATTGATTTAGGGATACAAATCAAAGAATCATTTATAAGATTAATTGAGAAACATGTACCAGGAACACGTTCCTGTGTGATATCCAATCAAGAACATAAGGGCCTTTCTGTTATCATGCTGAACTTGTGATGATCCATTCCACGAATGATTCAGCACTGTCTCTTAAAGACATTACAAACTTTTAATGTGCTACTCTCAAGGATTTGAAACAGGTGTGAGAAATGTGATCTTAAGTTTCAAAAGAACAACATGAAACATTCTCAAGTTTAATCTCGCATCAGTGCAGATGCATCTTTTTGATGGTGATCTGAAGAAAAAAATCTAATTGAATTATGGGACATTATATTTAGCTGGTTCTTTGGCCAAATAACAGTAAGAAATTATGTAGCAAAGGAATTCTAGCATGAAAAGCAAGTTTGCACATGTTTGGATCCTCAGACTTCAGTTAAGCAGCACCAAGATTTTTATATATTTTAAAAATGTATATAGCTAGGACACATTAAATTGATTAGTAAATGCCTTTGCTGTATAATGTTACAAATGTTTGCTAACAAATACAAACTATTTCTATTCACTAAAAGAATCCTGATAAAAAAAAATATATCATGGTTCCATAAATATACTAAGCAGCACAGCTGTTTTCAACATTGAAAATGATAAGAACTGTTTCTTGCACATCAGCATATTAAAATGATATCTGATCATGGGATCAAGACTGTCACTGGAGGAATGATGCAGAACATTCACCTTTGTATTCACAGGAATAAATTACATTTAAAACATTTAATAAAAATATTAAAAGAGAAAACAGTTATTTAAATGGTAATACTATTTCACAATATTACTGTTTAATTTCGATTAAACAGGTGATCAAGATTTAAAAAATATTACTGACCCCATGTCACAACAGGGAAGAAAAGTCTATCACTGTTTTTGTGTGTGTCCCTTTAAATGCAAATGAGCTGCTGCTCCCCCGCCTGCATTCAATAGACGGCTGATCCTTTACACAATCTTGGGAATCTCCGGCTATAACAAAACATACGAATAATGTCACTCATCCAAAATGTCAGAAATAACCACTAGCGGAGTGCAGCCTTATGGAGAGACTCGGGAAGAGGTTGCTTAGACTGCACTTGGATGTTTCTGAATGGTTAGTGGACATACGTTTATGTAGCCTAGTTGTTGTGGGGTTACATTGATTGATCTCATCGACTTGCATGTACCATCGTGTTTAACTTGACAGTTCTCTGAGGTATTTAAACCAGCTGTGACAATTTTTGGTCAAATAGTGTTCTGTGCTGTGCTCGTCTGTGGAGCCAACGGCATATCAGTTTGCATGCTTTGCTCAAACTTTTGCCATTGCATTCGAACTGGTTACACTGTTGTTGCTTGCAAGAACCAAAATGGCGGTGCCATGGGTGCAAACGTGCTGATTAAGTGGTGGTAATATTATAATAAGATCCCCTTCCTACGTCAGAAGGGGAGTGATATTTTGACATGCTTGCAGGGAAAGGCTTACCAAAACGAAGTTACTGGGTTGTCACTTTTCACGTTTTCTAGGTTGGTAAATGCACCGGGGACCCGGTTATTGCACTTTAACACAGAAAAAGTCTGATTTTCTTGATATGTCCCCTTTCAAGCACAAATATACCTCATATTATAGGGACTGGATAACTGGATCTTATTTAGCACAGAAAACACATACACTTCAGTGAAGCTTTGCAAAAACTTCAGCTCATCTTCATTTCTCTTCGAGACCGATGGTAGTTCAGTCATTAGCTTTTGCTCTCAGTTCTTGTCTTCTGCCAGATACACAGATGTTTTCTAAAGAGCACTAACAAGCAGAGCAATTTATGTCCTGTGGTATGAGCTCTTTGGGCTTGAACTCAAAGGCTGTGCCCTTATTTGACCGGCATTACTAATCTCCGGGAGGCAAAGGCAGCCTGAGGTGAAGGTAAGGCCCTGAATATCGAAGCCATAAAGCTGAGGAATTGCCTGGCTTTTGTGCAAAAGGATGATCTATACGGCTAGTGGAGCATAAAACAATAGCTAAGGTTACTGTTTGCCAACCTGATGTAGGCGAAGACAACAATCCAGTATCTGCGAGACTCCATTGATCATAAATAGAGACATGCAAAGGGGTGGGGAACTAACAATTTGGACAACACAGAAATTCTTCAAAAGATTCTTTGTTTCTCCAGCAGGTCAAAACATCTTTTTTCAACTTACCTGAAGGAGGAGGAAAAGTCAATTGTTCAATGCCATGTTTTATGGGTTTATTCATCTTACCAAGTTTGACCGTCATCCTTCCAAGGTAAAATTAAAGTTGTTGAAAACAATCTAATCTCTTTAAAAGGGACATTTCCATCAGGTATAATCTGGCCCCAAGTCTGGCCAGCCCAGGATTTCAATATTGAACTTGTTTGCTTTCTTTATTTGTCTAACCCCTACATTAGATATGCTTTTAGAATGCAATTCCCAAAAAAGAGACATCAGAGGGTTTCTTTTTTGGGATGATCAGGATGAGGATCTTTATGCTTGTCAGATGTATCTGAAGACCACTCTGAGGTGATATTTATAGAGTAAAGCAAATATAGCAATAAATGAATTCCTTGACCGCCCAAATTCAGCCAGAAAGCAGTTCGTTTTTATCATGCACTTTCCTCGAGACCCGAAAGGACACCTAGCCTTTGACTGGCATACGTGTCAGAGCAACTATACTGGAGTGATTCATGGTCAGACCTTAATTTTCTTGGCTCTCAAACTCCTGCAAGATTATGGTCAGCCAATAGGCAATACGCAGTAGCCTTAAATGGGTTTTACTTGTACCAGACAGATTTAAGACACATCTGTGGTACCCCATGTTCAAGTGTTGTAGAATTTAAGCAACAATATTACTAAATTATCAACACTTTATAAAACCTTACCTAATATAGGCATAACCCATATCAAAACAAAATGATATCCAAATTACATACAGTACATTTCCATTGCAATTGGGTTGCACTATAGGAATAGAGTAATGAGAGTAAAGCCAAAATTGAATGAAAGCTCTTATTCGTCTTGTAATATCACTATTATCTTTTGGTTCATCTTTCCTTTTGTTTCATTTTAGTTTAGTGAAATATAGACGTCAGTATATTTCTTCAAAAAAGCACTTCTCTTATGTTCCCTAATTTTGTTCTTTGTACTGTATATCATGTTTCCACTGCTTTGGACAAAATCAAAGAAACCAGGCTAATATTTCCTAAATGTGTTTTGCTTGGAACGGACTGCACTGTAATCTTTGAGTTATATTTAATGCTTCCAAATGTGTAGTTATTAACAGAATACAATCTCCTTTCTCAAGCCCTTTGAAAAGTGGATCCGCATACAAGGCTTTGATCATTTCAAAATGATATAAGTGATATTGCAAAGGGAAAAATGGACATCTTTTTTTTTTACTGTAGTACATCAAATGTCCTGGCGTCTGGTGGAGTGGTGGGGAAGGATGTTCTGTGAAAGGGGGAAAAAAATTGTGGTCACTTTTAATAGATTTTAGAACGGCATTCTGTGTTAGTTCTTTCTTGTTGTCATTTAGCCTTTTCCTGATCACAAGTGTAAACCATGGAGATTACATGGAGAAAGCTCAACTGTTCTTTTCATACAGAACATTATGTAATAAGGTCTACCTGTTCTCCAAAGCATTATTTATTGCCCTTAGGAGGTACATAAATGTTAAATCTCACAACTACCGCAGTTTCCCTGCCTAGCTTCTACAAGCTCCATGTATTACCCAATAAAAATCTGACTAATCATGAATATTTTTTTTTATATTATTATAAATTTATTGTTATTATCTTTACTTAATACCTCTCCACAGATGTCTGGGAACAGTTAAAGGTATTAATCAATGGAAATGTCCTCTTTTTCCCTCTATCCAGTCTGTCCTGCCAGTATCAACTCTTATGCTTTCTACATTACAAGGGTAATGAGTTCATCGACATCAAATGGAAGTGATTGCTAGGAACTTTCTGCTTTAGCTCTTTGAGCATTTGGTTCCATGCATTTGACAAGTTGTCCTTCTCAGCTAATACGTAACTTTATCAAAAATTCAATACTGTAAACTCGAAAATGTAATAACAAAGGTGCTCTAAGAATTACGCCGCCTTCACACTGGCAGTTGAAATCAGCTCCGCAATACACATTACTCCCCCAGTGGACGTCGTACTACACCGTTGAAAAGCGTCGGAAGCGAGTAAAACAAAAATGGCGGAGAGATTCGATCTCTTCTTTTTCTGCTTGCGTCTCCAGTATAGGAGAGGAACAGCAAGAGCATTGACCAGCCCACGATTTGCCAACATGGAATTTTCTGTCTGTATGTGAATGAGCGAGGTGAGGGAAAACGGCCACAATATTAATTATACATTTTAATTGGAACTTCCCTAATAATGTTGGAAATCATGTAAATGAAAAAATGACATGACAACTTTTTATTTCATTACAAGTTAAGAATTCAGGTTTGTTTATCAGCATCATAGCGACGCGAACTTCCGCTGGAATTTTCGGACCATCCGTAGCCTTTCGCAAGAGTTCAATTTTTTAAACACATTCGGATGACCAACTGACACAATTTTTTCTGCAGTGCAATCGTTCGGACCATAGACTGAGAAAAAGCGTCTGGGACATCACAAAACATATATAAATGAATAATGAAAAGAAGGACTGATCAATACTTGATTTGTGCCCGTCAACTGCAAATGAAGTCCTTTATCCTGAAGATTTCAGCATCTGAAAATACACAAATACATCTGGACACATTTGACAAGTTGTTAGGACTGGAGAGGCTGATGCTAACGTAATCCAAAATAAACATTTTTTTGTATGTTAAGCATTTTTTTTTTTACTGTCTGAAGCAGGAACAGATGTATGATCCAGCTGATGAATTGAAACCATCTGAAACAACTCTTACAATCTTGCTCCATAAATATACCTTTCAACGTTTAGTGTGAGATCAAGAAAAAAAAACAATAAGAAGAAGAAGCAGCAACATGTTTGCCAGCCTTGTCTCACGGGGAGGAAGTGTTGCGCCTGACAGTTATTATACCACGTATGTTTGTTTATTGTACAAATAAATACATTCTTATGAGCTTTAAAGTATGGACAAAAACATCTGAATGATTGCATGATTTAACTTTAATTTGACAGAATTAAAACGTGTTTTATCCTAAACCCTCTGGGTCATGGGACCAGATTTAACCTTGGTGTTTAAAAACAGATATTTTTAAAGTTAACTAAAAAACAAGTGCAGTTTGGGGAAACATTGGCCATTTAGGTCTTACTTTTTATTCAAAGCAATTTAAAATTCAGCTTGATAGTAATATATATTGCTTATGACCAAAATATGAGCAGAAAATATACATACTAAATTACAGATGGAATCATGACAATAAAAGTGGAACGATTTTATCCAAAATGGATTAATTCGTCAAACAAGGTACAGTCGGTTTAGACAGTAATCCCCAAAGTTCAATAAATGAAATTAGAATTGCATTAGCAAAGAGAGAGAACAAATAAAATACAACAAGTACAACCATTTAGAAATGGGCAGGGCGAGTTCAACACTTTCTCAATGTTCAAATAAACATTTTCAAACTTTCAAATAAATACTTTCACGCTTTTCAAACAAACGCATTCAAATAATGTGTTTATTTGGGGGGGCATAGAAGATTCAGGTCACTTAGGTCAAGGCATAAGTCTAACAATATTCTTTCAAAATTCAAATTTCTCCAGAGCTAATTTCTGTTAAGTTAAATAAAATCTAGCTGCAAACTGTATTATTTCAGATTTAAATAAGTGAGTCTGTTTCCACCAGAGAGAGTGAGAGAGAGAGGGAAGTAATTGTGACTTTTAATCTCACAATTATAACTTTTTTTTATCTCGCAATTCTAACTTTATAATGCAATATAAACTCGCTGAGAAAAAAAGTCATTTTTTTCCCCTTCAGAATTTAGTTCTGAAAAAAAAGTCAGTTCTGATATAAACTCGCAATTGTTAGATAAGTCGCAATTATCTTTTTAAAATATTTCATTTTCTGGCAGAAACAAGCTTAGTTACAGACTTTGGAACTTGAATCTAGCCTCAGATTTTTTTTCCCAAGTTCACTCTATTTTGTTACTACTTAAAAATATATTGTAATTAAATATTGCAGTGCTGATAAATAGTGTAAAGATCTGATTTTATTTTTGCCACCTTCTTGTTGATGTCAGAACCAACTTTAATGGTTTATTTGTGGCAAAAGAAATGAATTACCAGAAGATTTTCTGCCATTTTTTTATCACTTCATTACTAAAGTTTGTGTCTTTTTGTGTCGTATATCTAAATGGAAGTGTAAATATGCAGAGGAAATGCCTCTACTTTGCACAAAGTCTTTGAGCCTGCTAATGTCAAAATGGTGGTCATTCAATCGAAACCAGAGCTGTGCGCTACATCTGTGACCTTGGCTTACATACACCGTGCGATGGAAATGTCAATGTGTTTGTAATTAGTCTGTCATTTGCAGTAAACACCATGAATAAAAATCAAATTTCTTGTCAGATGAGATAAAGCTGGTATAGTATTTGCATAATGTCCATGACACATTTCCCAAAAGCATTGTTATCTTATTAGCACAAGAAAACAAACTATTACAAATAGTTTTGATGAGTGCTTTCTCTCTCTTTTCCACCTCATCTTCTTCCAATGTCAGGTTCAAGTCTAGTAGCTAGGCAGTAACATAATGCATGTTGCATAATGGCAGATATATGTGTGCAGCCCTCAAAACAGATTTATGAATATACAAAGTGTCTCTCTTTATCAAGATATATAGATCATATAGTCCACTACTTCATAGGCCTGTAATGCTTTTCTGAGTGCATCTGTTAAGTTTCCAGAAAAACGAGAAAGCTAAGAAATGATCTACATCATATAATCGGACGATATGAATGCTCTATTTTGTAATATGTATGCTGAAATAATAATGTATCGCTTACACATGCAGTGTGAAACTCCATCATAAAATAATGTATTATGTTAAGTTGTTTTATCATTATCAGAAAACCCAGCCAAGAAATACAACCCCTTATTATGGAGAAATAAAACTCAGGTAATAATTTAATAAGTTTCCTACAAGACACATTAATGTAACTTGTTTTTCCATCTTAATTACTGCCAAATTTCCATGTCTGAAATAAATCTTAAGTGTTTTAAGATTGTTCTAAAGGTGCCTTTATTTGCTTGAAATAAAGCAAATAAATTTATCCTGGAAGAAATTCACGCTTACATTCACATAGCTGT